GCAAGCCGAATCCTCCGCTGTGGATCTACGCTCCATCGCTCCGCTTTCTTATTAGACTCCCGTAATTCGACTAGCGCCCAAGCCACCTTTGAGCACCTACAACAAAGAACAGGCAGCAGCAGCAGGCGAGGAAGATGGTCGCAAAGCAAATGGTGCAGCCAAGCAAGCATGCAAAGCGCCTCGTCGAAAGTTGAAGAAACACGCCCTTCGATAGGCAGGCAACCACCAGCGCGCAAGCTATGGCAAGATTGGGAAGCAGGGCAAGGAGGAGAAGAAGCAGGGAAGCGACGCTGCGAGCTGGTGCGAGGGCCAGGCCGGCCAGGACTGGTTCGGCGGGGCAGGTAGAGTCCGCCTGCATGATGCTAGGTTCGAACTGCCCAGACCCAGGGGTATGGTCACAGATCCAAGAAGGTGTCGTCGTCCAGTGACGTTACCACTTCCTCCTCATTCCTCCGTTCCTCGTCCAGGTCCCTGTCCGCTAAGAAGTCCATGTGGCCCGTCGATCTCGTCCTCCTACGCAATCATGGAAAGAACGGCTTGCCCGCTGGTCGAATTTTGAAGGCACGGTGTTCTGATGGATAGTACCCCTGGGCTTTGTTCTGATATAGTCGTGGCACGGGTTCCTATACTACAGCCTTCTGATGCAAGCTATTGCGCCTATCCATCCATCTACGCACACTTATCCTATGGTCCAGACAAAGAGGAAACAAGAAAAAAGAAAGAAAAAAGAAAAAAAGGAAAGAAAAAAGGAAAAAAGGAAAAAAACTGCTGCGTATGGCGGGCTCCTATCCCTAGAGGTTCGCTCTATTCGTCAGTAACCGAGAGTGAAATATTCCTACCTTTTTTAACTTCCCCGCCGCGTGAGGGTTCAATTCGGCCCGGCTGGGGTCATGTCTCCCATTATTCGTCAGCTACGGATGGTACAAAGAACGAAAAAAGAAAAAAAGAAAAAAAGAAAAAAAGAAAAAAAGAAAAAAAGAAAAAAAGAAAAAAAGAAAAAAAGAAAAAAAGAAAAAAGGAAAAAAAGAAAAGAGGAAACAGGAAAAAGGGAGACAGGGAAGGGACAGAAAAGGAATCCGCCAAGGAACAAGGTCCGAAAAAAAGTCAGAAAAAAGTCAGAAAAAAAAGGGGGGGAGCGAGGGAAGAAACAAGAAAAGAAAGAAAGAAAGAAAACAGCGAAAAAAAGGGGGGGAGTTTGCATCCGTTCGAAGCGTCCTCCATCCTTGCCAATTTGTTCTCCCGGTCTTCTTCATTCTCCTCCTCCATTGCCCCATCACCTGTATGCGTGTGTGTGTGTGTGTGTGTCTGTGTGTGTGTGTGTGTGTCTGTGTGTGTGTGTGTGTCCCACCCCGTCCCCTCCGGGATGAGCGAGGCCGCAGGGGCGGTTGTCCGAAGGACAGTCGGCCCCCCGGCCAGCCGTCCCCCGGACACCGCACACACATACGCACAAACACAGACACATCCACGCAGACAGCAAGCACACTCAGTCAGTGAATCCATACAAGCCAGACAGGGCCTCCTTAACCAAATACATGGAAACCCTGCCGGGTTGGTAGCGATGCGCGTTCCGCAGAGTTTTCCTGACTACTCCCCAACAAGCATCCCTGGCAAAACCATTGCTCCTCATTGCCGTCACCACCTTGTTAATCTCTCTAGCAGCATCATCTGGTTCGGAACAGAGCAAGAGGATTTGCGCGACCTGGGCGGTGATGATCTGCAGAGCTTGCTTGGCACTCCTGTTAGATCTGTACCTCATGAATCTGCATGGAGCGAAGCCCAGCCCTTCTCGCTTGTCATGCCTGGAAGTGATATACGCACCCGTCTCTGGAGATGTGATCACGATGGTTCACTGAGAAAGTTGGCCCTTCGTCCGTGCTCATCTACGATGAGCTCGGTGTTTTCCTTGATCTCGATATACTCGTCCGGGTAGATCCAGCAGGGGTCGCTCTCCTCCCTATCCGCTTTTTTCCGCATGAAGCTCCCAATGATGGTATTGTTGATGGCGCCCAGGTCTTCAATATACCTGAAGGTGTCCGCAAAGTAAGGGATCAGGTGCGCATTCCCAGTGTCCGCGAGCCTCATCATAGCGTGGTACGCATACTTGAAGAAGTATATGTCGCACCATATCGGGGAGCAGGCCAGGCCCATAGGGATGCCCTTGACTTGCCTCTACACATGGTTTCCCATACGGAGCACACTATTAGCAATGCACCACTCCATGAGCCAGCATACGTCCCCTTCCCTGAAAATCAACGAATCGATTCCCTCCGTCTGATCAGCATCCACCCAGGAGGGCCACATCCTGCCGTCGTCCCCCACCTTGAACCGGATGACGTGAGTCGAGCTCCTTTCTCTCCGCACTCGCATTGCACATTCCACGTAGAACTTCACGGCCGCTGGCAGACTGTCCTCCGAGCTCTTTGTGGGGATGGTCTCAAAACACCTGGTGATGTCTGCCGTGAAGACAGAAAAGATCCTCTTTGGTAGGTTTGCACAGAATTCTCCCACTGAGGCTATCGACCACCATAGGTTCGGCTTCACTTCGAATTGCTCCTCCACTTCGAGGCTTTTCTCCTGACAGAATGCCTGCACCACAGCCCCGGATAACAACAAACAGCAATCTCAATGCCACACGATGTATCAATGGGACGCTGGACCCGGTTTCCAGCAGGTGCCGCTCCCCACCAATAGATGAAGTGGCCCGACAGGTAAGCCCTCAATTCTAACGGTTCTCTTACCACCGCCAGGATAGATAGATATCACAAGGGCCATTAAAAAAAAAAAAAAAAAAAAAAAAGTAGCAGGCATGCACAAAAGTTTGCCGCTGGGGAAATCGCCGTTCCTGTTGTGTTCGTGATCCATCGGAACGCATTCTTATGAGCCTTGAAGACTGTCATTAGGTACGGTAGTGTCGTTGGCGCAGCTGGTAGCGCCGGTATGGCCGAAAGCTCGCCCTGTATTCGTGCGATGACGGCGGCAGGGGGGGCGGCAACACTAACAAACTCCGGTCCGGAAAGCCTCTGAAACGCGAGCTTACGGATGAAGTTCTTGCAGACGAAGGTTGGGGTGCTCGGAGCCTTGTCCGTCGGGCATATGAGGAAACGGCGAGTGAGGAATTCCACCTCCCGCTTAACGGCCGGATGCTCGAACGGCTCCGCAGTCAAGTGCCTGTGCTGCTCCTTGTACCTCATCATCTTGGTCCTAGCCTTCCTCAGGATTAACCTCCGTAAGAACGCATGCGTGGAAGGCGTGAGCTCGCGCAGCTCCAGTATCGCCGTCATGAGCTTGTATAAGAACCTTGCCACTTCTGCCTCCGCCTCGTCCACATCCAGGGTCATACAGGGGATGTGGTTCAGCCCCGAGTTAATGATCCCTTGGAGTAGAGGATTGTCCGTAACCGACGAGTCCAGCGTGAATACGCGTGTATGCCCCTCGCTCTGGAGCAGGCTGATCGTGGCGTTACTGCGCAGGTCCGAGTACCTGCGTGATCTGCACGCGCACTGCTCGGGGTCATAGGTCTCCATCCATTGTGCCACATCGAAGTCGCAAAACACTTCCGCAGGTCTGCATAATCTGGAGGCGATGTTGTTGTNTCCATCCATTGTGCCACATCGAAGTCGCAAAACACTTCCGCAGGTCTGCATAATCTGGAGGCGATGTTGTTGTTGTAGGTCCARCCAATCACCGCCCKTTCCAGCCACGTCACCGTTTCATCACCGATTATCCTCGTTAGAACTCCATTGATAATCTTTTTGATGGAGAGAGGCTCCATTACCCTGCTCGTGTACTTCAGGTGCATGAATGTGTCGCAGTCCGGCCGCAGTCGCTTCCAAGATCTCCGTCCGGTTGGCAACGTGATCATTTGCTCCATGGTGTTAATGTTCGTGCCAGGGTCCTGCGCTCGAAGATCACAACCACAGGACGGGGTCGGAGGGGGTAGTGAATCTGCCGGGAAAAATCGAGAAGAGCGGAAGAACGGGGGGAGCGGGGGGAAGAAACAAAGGGGGATTCAATCAAGAGGAGGAAAGAGGGACAAAAAAAGGAAAGAAGAAGAAGAAGAGGGTTCCGGTCCCTTTCCACGGGCGGGTTAGGTACGTGCCGGCCGCGCGTTGGCGGGGGCGTTAGCCCGCGTATTGCCTCTGCCTCTCGCACCTTTTTTCTTGTTGCCCCTGCTGGTTCTCATCAGTGTGGATTGTATCGATCCTTATGGTGAAAGGAGGACAACGGGAGGCGGGGTCAAGCCTCTAATTACCATCGCCGGTTGCTGCGCGAGAGGGGGAGTAAAAGCTTGAGTTCCCATTGCTCGCAGGGGAGCAGAAAGCGGGTTCGAGATATGCATAGCGCGTAGGTGATCTTCGGCAGTGACCTGCTGTACCCCGGTGATTAATATCATGGGTTGTGAATGCGCCGGGGCATTCAGAGAAGGAGGAGGGGGACGGGGTGGCGGGGGTGGAGGGGGAGGTGGAGGGGGGGACGCGACAGCAGGAGAAGGCGGAGGAGGGGGTGCATTCGGAGGGGAGGTGCTCGGAACCGGGGTGACACGGCGGAAGTTGAGTGTGGTCTGGCCTGGTATCTGCATGTTCGCAAAAAAGAGGAAGGGGGAAAGGAAAAGAAGCCATTTCTGACGAACGCGAATTCAAACAATGGTATGCTTAGCTCATACTCGAAAAAAATTGCACTTATATGTCACGGTGCCCATTCCGTACCCCTGTTGCCCAATCATACATCATGTAGTCCCAAGGGATCGGGAGGAAAGCCCGGGGAACAGAAAGGGGTGGGGGGGTAGAGAGAGAGAGAGAGAGAGAGAGAGAGAGAAGAGGGAAAGGGGGAGGGAGAAGGGGGAGGGGGAGGGACAGGATGGAGGTGTGTATCCCGCTTCAGCTCTCTCCTCCAAAACCATCGCATGCCTGCATCTATGCGGATCATCTCGCTGAATTGCGGGAAGGGCGTGGCAGCTCCCTGAAGCGCTTTTCTGCCCCAAGCCACATGGGGCGTCATCAGAGGGGGGGACATCTTCCACGATCT